TGATGATTTTCCCTGTAATGTGGAGACAATTGCATGGTGGAACGCAGGGGGGGTGAGAGTTTTTAAAGGAATAGGGTCGCAAGTGACCGTTTTTTAGGGTCGCAAGTGACCAGGGATTTTAGGGTCACAAGTGACCGTTTTTTTAGGGTCGCAAGTGACCATGGACCCCATTTTCAAGGCTACAAAATGCTACAAACGGAGACTCCAGGTATATGGAATAATAGGCATGAATACTCTTCTCATTTAACTATGGTTAATAATCTTCTCTTATCATGGTCATAATAGATCCATATGAATAATTTTCTTATGTACTGAGGATCTTCTTGTATTTACCTACATTGTGAGGCCCCCCAGTTATAAGTTAGTTTATAAGCCCCAGTAACGATAGTTATAAGTACCATAAACCATAGTTATTGGAGTTATAAACCAACTTAGATATCTTGGGGGCCTCACATTGTACTCTTCAGGGCCCGTGAAAAGCCGTGAAAACTGCCCGTCCACCGTGAAACCCGTGGCAATTGCTCTGAGGTGCCAAGGCTCAGGAGTGGCAATGGGTGCCTTGTGCCTTAACGGAGTGGCGATGCGAAGCAATGCGAAGCAATAATAAGATCCACCATTTTCCATAGGAAAACCATAGGAAAATGGTGTTTTAATGGCATTTTAATGGTGATTCAATGGCATAAATATGGGATTTAATGGGATATATGATGATATACCCTCTGGTAAACATACAAACAAATAGGGAAAGATCCACTATTTTTCATGAGTAAATCCACTATTTCGACTGGGCCATGTTCAAGTTCGCAAACTGTAAACGTTTACCAGAAGTTGATCAGCCTCCAGTAAACCAATAGCTAGCTATGTTTTTTTTTTTTTTTGTGGCGTATTTGAAATGAAGATTTACATAGATTTACCTCTTCAAGATGGTGATTTCCAATAGTTATGTTACATTATGTTAGTTCACCACTGGGTATAGCTACGGTCTGGGATATAAGAATACCACGGTGCTGAATGGAATATGGGGATATTTTTATGGTGGGGGATGAATGGAAAAAATGATGGCTTGAGGACCGAAAAGGTCCGAAAATTCTCGAAAATCACCCAGCAATTAGTTCGGGATGTCCTGATTCTGGGGACAAAGATCCAGATTGCCAACTACAAAGATCCAGTTTTGAGCAGTGGTTTTGAGATGATTCAGGGTATGATATGGTATGATTTTTGCCCAGCAATATGCTCTCTGGTGAAAAATATGGTTGGCTGGAACATACCTTAAGTTTCCATTGGAACTAACGGGATAATCAGATTTTCCAGTGGTGTGTTGCTGGAAAATATCCCATTTAGTTGGGGGATTTCCAGCCAGGTTTGATTACCCACGGGTAATCAGTCCTTCACGTCTGTAGACTTTGTGATGTTCTGCCGATGAAAACTTGTGAACTTGTGGGAGGCCACGTCTTACTTTAGACTTCAGTGTCATTGATTATCCACGCGATTTGGATCATGAACCTCATAGGTAAACTGGTAAACTAATATACCTATGGAAAATCCATTGCCATTTCCGTTTTTATCATTGCACTAAATGGGCAATTTTCTTGGCTATGTTAGATTACGTTTTCGGGTACGTCCTCCCCCAAGTGGGTGTTCAAAGTCCAGAGAAGGATCAAGAAGCGAAGACGCTCCGGTCTCACATAGCTATCGTTGATGATTTACCAAACATGGTCGATGTTCAGTTCGCAAACGGTTAGATTGCCAGTGTGTATATTCCTGATTGGTGGTTTGGAACATGATTTTTATTGTTCCATTCAGTTGGGAATGGAATAATCATCCCAACTGACTTTAACTCCATCATTTTTCAGAGGGGTAGGTATACCACCAACCAGATTCTCATAAATCATACAATGTGAGGCCTCCCAGTTATAAGTTGGTTTATAAGCCCCAGTAACTATAGTTATAAGTACCAAAAACCATAGTTATTGGAGTTATAAACAAACTTAGATATCTTGGGGGCCTCACATTGTATGTTTGTTGATATGAAACATATTTGTTCATAGTTAATCTCCACTTTTGACGCCTGAATCCCACGTCACATCCCAATTTCTGATGGTGAATGACCCTCTGGTAAACGAACATTGTTCCGGAAAATCACCATTGTGAAGAGGTGAATCAAGCAGCTACAAATGGTCCATATTTTGTCCATAACGATGTTAGTTCATTGGTTATAATATATACTAAGTTTACTTTTAGGATCAATTTATACCGTAAATATGTGAGTTTACTGTCTATAAATCATAAATATGTTAGTTTACTGGTAAATAATCTATAATCATCCATAATCATCTAGAATCACCTATAAATGGTTAATTTTAAATTATAGCTATATGTTGGTTTACTGGAGGGTATGGATTTTCCAGGATGTTTTCCCGGCGCAACACTAAGTCCCTGCAACTTCTGAAGGACATGGTTTTGGAACAGGCTGGAACTTGGTGCTGGGGTGAACCGGTACCTCGACCCTCAATTTGTACCCTTAAAAAAATTGTGTTTTACCCTCTGGTAATTTAACATAGCTATGGAAAATCACCATTTTTAATGTGAAAATCCACTATAAATTGCCATTTTCAATAGCTATGTTAGTTTACCAGAGGGTACCCCATAATCAACAAGTATGTTTAGCATTGTTTGGGTGCTACTTGAAGGGTCTACGTACCTTGATACCCTGATTTTATACATATGACCCTATCATTTCCATTACCGCATCATAGCTGTAGGCTTCGCTCACTTGGAAGGAAAGTTCTACGGTCGGTTTTTGGCCCCCAAAACGTGAAATCGGTGATCCATTTGGTTCAATTCGGGATTCTTAAACAACATAGGAATTGTGGCCCTTAACAGTTGAAAATGGCAAGTAAATCCTCATTTCCAAACAATCAATGTTTAAGTTTAAGTATCATTTATCCCAATTTACCCAATTTGGCGATGCTTTACGGCCACGTTTACACTTATAGCTATCTTTAAATATCACAATTTTGAGTGGCTGAAGTCAACATTTTCCCCCTTGCCACTGCCGCGGGAAAGGTGGTGGCAGATGCTGCTACCTTCAATGCTGCTGTTTGTGACTCAGACCGTTGCTGTAAGGTTTGGAACTGGTGTGGAACCGACAAATTGGATTGTGTGATAATCATTCTTATTATCATCACAATGAAATGTACAATGATTATAACTTAAACAATTCAAATTCATTTCTTTGGCACAAACAACATCAAACAACTATAATATATTCATTAATAATTTGTGTTGAAAACATTCGGAAACCATGTTAACATACTGCGTATAGTTATTCGGACACCATGTCGAAATTAGTTTTATATAATTACGACTATCTAATTTTAATTTCATTATCTTAGTCATCGTAAGAAAATGTAAGAAATATTAAATGGTTTTACATGATTAGAACTATACTGTAACCTATATGGTTTTTATATAGGAACCTCTTTTTTCTCATATACGAAAGCAAATTTCGCCCAGTCCTCCAGTCCTAATTCGAAGCTCGTCCGAGATCAGCGCCACAGAGAAGAAGTGGCAAATCTGCTTGGCACTCTGGCAGGACGGGCGGCTGATTTGATTGATGGCTGTCCACGGATCGTATGGGGATTTGATCAATAGAAACCAGGGTTTCTATGATAGCAACTTGATGTGGGTCATTTTGTCAGTTTTTTTTTTCTCTCAATTTGCTTCCCCTTGTGTACTTGGGATGTTTGCAACCCTGAGATGTTGATAGAATGACGATATCAATCGATACACTCTGGTAAACTAACACAACTATGGAAAATCACAATGTTTAATGGGTAAATCCACGAACTAAATCACCATTTTCAAATATTTTCAATAGCTTTTTGTTAGTTTATCAGAGGGTACCATGTTCATTAAAAACATCTGTTGATGTGCCTCACGTGGGAGTCGCTGGATCGGACTATTCTGCTTGGGAAAGCCCCTCATCTGTGACGCGGACGCGTTTCCTCAACTGGATTTGGTGTCACAGATGAGGGGCTTACCCTATAGTAGTCTCCCCAAAAAATGATACGTCTTACCATTGTTTTCGTAGGATGTTGCTAAAAAAAATCTCTATGTTTTTGGCGGGAGTTCTATAGATTTAGTATACCCCATAGGATCCATGTATATCCATGGTGCTGCTATATATGGTAACATGGATCCCATCAATTTACCCCAAATGTTAGCATATATACCAGCACCATGGATCCTATGGGTACTATACTATATATATATACACAATGGATTGAAGCAATTCCGGACTCTGACTCCGCTGCCTTTCTTTCGGCGAAATCTTAGCCATCACTTGATGTTCCCTAAACGGTGCAGACGTTACAAAATTTGAATGTCACCACTTCCGTAGTTGGCTGGTGTATACTTTTAAGCTCAAGTTTTTTATCCAAGACCATCGGCTGGTTTAACCTTCAATTGTTCGATTTTTGTTGATCTTTGAGGCCGTACCTAAGCATGGCCATACCCTAAATATCGCCAGAAATCCGCAACAAATTCCAATCTTCATGGTATCGCCGTTCAGAGCGCGCCAGGAAATGCCGAAGATTCAGCTGCAACGGGATGCTTGGGACGCCCAGTTTTTTCCCATAGAAAGAGATCATCCAAAAATGGTGGGAAACTCCCTAGTGTCATGGTGGTATCCCTTTATCGCTGGATGGTTGATGAGGGAAATGCCAATCTAAAATGGATGATTTAATTACCCTCTGGTTATGACTAACATTTCGCCATGGTATAGATGGCCCTAATCGAAATAGATGGTTTACCGTTCTTAAACATGGTGATTTTCCATGGCTATGTTAAATAACCAGATGGTATATAGACTATGACTTAGGAAAGCTCCATATATCATCATATATCTTAGTTCATTGGATTGGTTTAAGGGAACATCTTAACCGGAAACCATGTTTCTTTACCATGAAAAATATGGGGGGGTGTCCTGTAATCGTTTTTTTCCCGGAAGTAACATCCAAGTATGGCCTATACAATCCATGTAAAAGCCATATGCTATTTGATAGGATGCACATCCCACCTGTTGTGGATGTGCTAAGCCATATTTGGAAACGGTGGGGATCTCCTACCCATCAGAATTTCAGGACTCCATTTGTAGAGCTACTGTGCCATAAAATGCCATATGAATTGCGGTGATATTTCATGAAATTTAGCCATAGATCATATATATATATATAATATGTACATACACATGTATATATGGAGGTACTTCCAATTAAGGTTGCTGACCTAGCCATTGAATATATCAACAGAATACTTTTAATGATAATGAATTAACATATATCAATAACTATGATACTTTCTGATGATGAATTAACATTGGAGATTCAAATAGGTTATAAAGCATCAATTTCATTGGGGAATATACTTTGGACGTTCCGGAAACTTCTAAATTAGACTGGGGATATGTTTTTTTTTTTTTTGTGGGATATAGTTCACCAACAATATCTTTGGGTTTCCACCCCAAAACGTTGGTAAACAAAATCATAGGCAAAGGATATCAAAACCTCACGAAGTTTCCCGTGTTTTTGGCACAACATCATGTTGTTTTCAAGTCAAGAAGATGCTACCTCCAAAAAATAAAGACAAGTATAGTTTACTACTATTTTTGTTTAATTAGGATCTTGCATTCTCATTTTTTTGGGGGTTGCTGGATTCCTATATATTTTCGGGTGGTTCGAAGTGCATGCCGCTCAAGTTCATCAATGGCTGGTTGGCAGTTGACGCTTGTGGGTCATAATAAGGCAAAGTCAGCAACAAAATAAAAAATATAATTTTATTAAAGTAAAGTGACTATCCATTAAATCCCAT